GTGGAATAAGTGCTTCGAAAATTGGTTCGAGCGCCTGCAGATGTGTATTAATCTTCGTGGAGAATACTTCGAATAACAATAAAGTCATTTAAAACTACCTACCGTGTTGTTTTATTTCCATATGCAAAACTTAAAAGACATCCCTCGTAATCATAGTCTCACAAGGCCAACCCACGAGCGATATAAGATTAGTTCAAATGACGTATTACAGACAATAGGGAGCCTAAAATCTGATGCGAAGGGAATTGATGGTATGTCCCTGTCAATGATCCAGCTTTGCCTGCCAGTTATTCTCCATCACATCGTCCACATCTTTAACGACTGTTTGGAAAAAGGCTACTTTCCAAACACATGGAAACAAGCTCTAATTATTCCAATTCCTAAAAAAATGAAACCCACTGAGTATAATGATCTCAGACCTATCAGTTTATTACCAATTTTATCCAAAATTTTAGAAAAAATTATAAAGTTCCAATTGACCGCATACCTAGAAAAATTCTTTATACTTCCCGACACTCAATCCGGATTTAGAAAAAATTATAGTACAACATCTGCCCTACTTAATCTGCAAGACAATATTTTAAGTGCCTTAGATAAGAAAATGGCACTAGCCTTAATCTCTATAGACTATTCTAAAGCCTTTGACAGCATCAATCATAAATTATTACTTGCGAAATTAAATTACATAGGTCTTGACAGTGCATCCCTTTCATTTTTCGACAGTTACCTTCATCAAAGAACTCAGTGTGTTTTTCTCAATCAAGAAATGTCTCAAGTGACAATAATTCCCTCAGGCGGACCTCAGGGCTCTGTATTGGGACCGCTTCTGTTCCTCATATATACGTTCGACTTAAGCAAAATTATTGATAATTCGCATGTCCAGTCATTTGCAGACGATATGCAATTGCTTCATTATTTTAACCCAGATAATGTCAATAATACTACACAAATTTTACAAAACGATGTTAATAAATTAATTAAATACTCTTTAGATCACAATCTACTTATTAATCCACAAAAATCTAAAATGTTATTATTTTGGGCACAAAGAAAAACATACAATGTAACACAGCTCTTGAACATTCAGATAAATAACCAAATCTTGCAATTTTCTGATTCTGCAAAAATTCTTGGTGTTGTTTTTGATACAAAATTAAGGTTTATTGAACATGTTAAAAGTCTATCTCAGAAAACCTACCTACGGCTGCGCACTCTTATAGCAAACAGGTATTTACTAAATTTTAAGATGCGTAAAAAACTATGTGAAGCATTGGTCATATCTATACTACATTATTGTAATATCGTATACTATACTTGTTTAGACAATTTCACTAAAAACGTTATTCAAGTTATTCAAAACAATTGTATACGATTCATTTTTGGCTTACGTAAATTTGATCATGTATCAGCGAAATATCCCGTTCTAAACTGGTTAAAAATTAATGACATGGTCAAGTATCACTATTCAGTTTTTGTTCACAAATTGCTGCTCACGTCTAAACCTTATTACTTCAAGGAAAAAATTTCATTTAATAATGATGTTCACTGTAGAACTCTCAGAGAAAATAATATTAGTATACCCCTGCATACGTCTACACTTTTTAAACGCAGTTTTTCTTACAATGTTGCTATTATTTATAATGACCTTCCTAAAGTATATAAAGAATGTTCATTACCTGTCTTTCGACAAAAAGTTTATTCCATCTTTAATTCAGATTAATAATTTTTTGGTGCATTTGGGTTTGGAAAGTATGCCTTTTTCTCTTTTTTTAAAAATTTTACTTTCGATGTAATGAACCAAATCTGTTTGTGGATAGTGTATTCTTTTGAACATCTGCTAGAGACTATATGGTTAAGTGTAAGAGACGTCTATTATTATTATTATTATTATTATTATTATTATTATTATTATATATTTTTCAACATGCTAAATTTGATATAAAATACTTTTCATTCGTTAAACACATGGGTAAAGGTGTCTTCTAAATCCGATTTTCCACTATAAGATGTTTCTGGAGGCATTTAAAACAACTGTTATTACTCCTGTTTATAAAAGCGGTGACAGAATGGAAACATCAAATTATAGACCCATATCAGTACTATCGAATATAGCCAACATTTTCGAAAAATTACTAGAGAAAAGGACATTACAATTTTTGGACAAAAACAAAATTATATGTTCTGACCAATATGGATTTAGAAAAGGGAAATCTACTACAGATGCAATTTTGGCTGCAATGGATGAAACTAACGCTAATGTCAACAAAAAGATACCTACTATTGGTATCTTTGTTGATCTAAAAAATGCCTTTGATACGGTTAACCATGTCGAGCTTCTGAAAGTTATGGAAAGATTGGAATTTATGGGAACATCACAAATCCTTTTAAAAAATTACCTTTTAAGTCGGGCACAGACTGTCAAAATCACTAACACTTGCAGTAAAAAAATGTACATCAAGTATGGTGTGCCTCAAGGAACAGTACTAGGCCCACTATTATTTAGTCTCTACTTAAATGACTTATTCAAAATTAACAGAGTTCTGGAAAGATTATATGTTTTGCAGATGACACCCTCGTATTATATAAAGCTGATGACTGGAGCACACTGAAGCAAATAGCTGAAAAGGATTTTATAAGGATCATCGACTGGTTTGATACCAAAATTTTAACAGTTAACTTCAAAAAAACAAAATTTATTGCATTTACCCTATTTAAAATTTTTACCTACTTTCGAACAAATTTCCGTTAATTACCATTGCCAAAAGACCAAAATCGATAGAGTTAACACTTTGAAATATCTTAGAATATTTATGGACTCACATCTAAGGTGGGATAACCATATTAAATATGGGGTTGTCCAAAACGGACGCAGGAAAGTAAACGCATATTAAAAAAAGAAAGATTGATATTCAAATCAAGTTGGGTACTTTATTTTGAAGGTTCATTTATACCATTTATGTATGAAAAATAATATCGCTCAAATGTTCACCACGACTGGATTTACAGACGTCCACGCGATGGTCGAAATTTTCAATGACATTTTGCAACATGGTCGGTTCTATGGCATTTATCTCGGCAATGATGTTGTTTTTGAGTTCTTGGAGGGTGGCTGGTTTGTTGACGTAGACTTTGCTTTTCAAATATCCCCATAAAAAGAAGTCCAAGGGAGTCAAATCGCACGATCTTGGTGGCCATGGCACATTTCCTCTGCGCGAAATCACGCGATCACCGAAGAAGGACTGCAATCGATGGATATTGACGTTGGTTGTGTGGCATGTTGCACCGCCTTGTTGGAAATAAACATCGTCCATATCCATTCCTTTAAGTTGCGGCAAAAAATAGTCCTCTATCATCACGTGATATCGCTCAGAATTGACGGTAACGGCGTCCCCGGCCGCATTTTCGAAAAAGTAAGGTCCGATGATGCCTTTTGACCACAATGCACACCACACAGTCACTTTTTGAGGATGCATCGGCTGCTCTTGATACTCACGGTGATTTTCGTTCGCCCAGATGTGGCAGTTTTGCTTGTTTACCGTCCCATTCAAAGTGAAATGCGCTTCGTCGCTGAACATGATTTTTGATGAAAAATTGGCATCAATTTGGCGGTGTTCAAGGAGCCAATCTGAGAACTTTCGGCGCGAAAAATGGTCGGCTCGACGCAGCTCTTGCGTCAATTGGATCTTGTACTCGTGTACATTCAAATCCTTGTGGAGAATGCGGAGCAAACTGGTTCTCGAAATGCCCAATTTTTGGGATCGACGCGTTATTGATTGTTTCGGATCGTCTCTCACACTCTCCTTCACAATAGCAATATTTTCCGGTGTGCGAACGCTCCTTGGCCGGCCAGAGCCTGGCAGATTTGCCACAGAACCTGTTGCCTCGAATTTACGCACCAGACGACCGATGGTTGTTTCGTTTGGGCGGTTGTTGCGACCGAAATGTTCACGAAGCGCGCGAAACGTGTTTTTTATTTTTGCAACCATTTTTGCAGTGCTCTTGAATAACTTTAATGCGGTCTTCAATCGAATACGACTCCATAGCGATCAATGGTAAACATTCAACTAACAAAATGACATGTCGGTGACAGAAAACAAAGATGGCGTCTATGTCAAATTGACGTTTACTTTCCTGCGTCCCTATTTATGTTATCAAAAAAATTAGAAATGTTGCCTATAAACTCAAAATGCTTGCTAACATTCTTACAGAAAGTTATCTGCGAATCCTATACCATGCCTTAGTTGAAACCCATATAATATACGGCATCACAGCCTGGGGTGCCGCCTGCAAGACATATATTTCTGACCTGAATATAGCGCTAAAAACTGTTTTGAAAGCCATTTTCCATAAGCCAAGAGTATATCCGACGAACAACTTATATCAGGAAACAGGGATACTTGATACAAGACAACTTTATTTCTTACATGCCACCACCATAAGTATTGTAATGAAAAAAAATATAAACACGAGCATAACACACGAATAGGCTCATCGAATATCCAAAGACCACACAAAACATTATTCAAAAAATCATTTAAATTCTTAGCAGCTAAATTATATAATGTAGTACCAAACGAAATAAAAATACTTAATTTTGGAAAAAATTTAGACGAAAATTGAAAGACTGGGTTTGTACTGTGCAGCGAATGACTATACATAATTATATGGAAAACTAAAACTACAAAATTCCAATTACATTAATACTTTTTAGATTTAACAATAATTGTTATACACATATATGATTGATTGTTAGTTATTAAGATATAAACCACACACAGGCGATGCCTTCTGTGGTTTTTTCATATTTATTTGCCCATTTTTTTGTATTTTGGCGAATAAATATTATTATTATTATGGTAAAAATTCATGCTTCAGTTCAAAATAAACAACCTAGGCAATTTTTACCAAGCGGCTGCGGCATTTTATTGAATTCGTTTCTCCTTTTATTCTCAACGTTAGCTTAGAGATTATTAAAAAAACTGACGCATATATCCTCTTAGGCTTTTTCAGCCGTTTTTGTATACTACAACCGCAAATATGGCATACGAACCTCCGGACTCCAGTTCCTATTCTGGTTACTCCTGCTTATATGCGCTATACCGCAACTCCGAACAGAAATCAGGGAGGCCCAAGAGACAGCTGATAAAAGAAGCTACAATCTCATCAGTTACACTTTATACTTCACTCTTGTGGGTTGTATAACATTGTTGAGCGCTCTGGCTGATGAACCACCGAGGGAAACGAAACATAGAATATCAAAGGTAAGCCAAAGGTAAAACACCCATCACGAAATACTCGGAAACGGTAAGAGATACAGAGTCGCTTATCGGAACAAAGTTGCGTATCTCTTACCGTTTCGGAGGTCACAATGCTGAAAATATGACAAATATGTTTTTCAAACCATTCTAGAATAAATTAGGTATACAGTAATGTTATGCAAATATTCAAGGGTGTGTATCTACATGAAAAATTAATGTAAGTCTACTTTATAAACTATGGTCCAAAAATGTTTCCTTAGAAAAACTCGGGGTGTTGAAATTTTAGGAAAAAAATGGAAATTAATTAATATAATTAATGGTTTTTTGCCAAATAAGAATTATTTATGAATTCCCCGTTCAATTTAAAACAAATGATCTCTCTTGAATTATTTTCCTTCCATGCGCCATTTTTGAGTAAAAAAAATAAAAACCGTTCTAGTGTCCGAGAACATTAATGTAATAATAATTGAAGAATGCAATTTAGCAATAAATATTTAGATGCTCTGGAATATTTTTTTCCTAAAATTTCAACACCCCGAGTTTTTGTAAGGAAAAATGTTTGGACCATAGTTTATAAAGCAAACTAACATTAATTTTTCATGTAGATTCACACCCCTAAATATTCGCATATAAATCCTCCTCCTAGTTAGTCTGATCGAATAAGTTTTGTGACGTTTTTAGATACTGTTTCCCGATTTTACAAAGCAGATATTCCACTCTATCTATTTTTGAATATCATACCTCGTGTTGTGTTTGGTGTTTTACACAGGTGACTGGACGATTAGAATTTGAAAAATGATTTCTACCGGATTTTACTGTCATTACGACGACGACATGTCCTTGAACCCAAAGGCCCATTTTATCAAAAATTAGATAGGTCAATCGAATGGATATTCTGTATATCATAATAATGTTATAAATTTTTCTTTTTTTAGAAACCATGTCCAGAACAAGGCGCTGGTGCGCTTTCTCGTATTTTGTACACTTGGTTCGATCCAATGGCATGGAAGGGATATCGAAACCCGTTGGTAATTGAAGATCTATGGGATCTCAACCCAGAGGATTCGGCTAAAGAAGTAGTGCCACTTTTCGAAAAACATTGGCATGCATCTTTGGAAAAGAGCGGCAGGTAATGTAAGCTATATCATTGATTAACGAATCGTACCCACAGATTCACTGATCAACAGCCAAAAAATATCCTAAATAAAATCAACAAAATATTACTATTTTTAATGTGCTAAAACCGGAATGAAACTTATTTTTTCAATATTAGTTCAAGTTTTAGAGATACGGTAATTATATGGGTTCCTGCTGTGGCAGTGGTAATATACTGTAATTCACAAGAATGCACGTGCTACATTTTTATATTCGGCAAGGAAAGATGATGTAATCGGCATGATTGTGTTACGTTATACATACGTGTACATTATATTGTTTTATATTAGCCATTTTTTCCTCAGTTGGATGACAGCGTTCATGCAAGATGTCTCGAAAGTGTGTAAACAATCCAGATCAGTTTTGTTACGTGTGTGGTGATGTGACTTTTGCGTCTCAGAGACCGTCTATTACTCCACTAATAACAAAGGCATATCAGCTTTATTTCGGTTGTAAACTAGGTGATCAAGACAAACAGTGGGCACCCCACATCTGCTGTAATACATGTGCTTCAAGTCTGCGGAGCTGGTTAAATGGCAAAAAACGGTCTATGCGCTTTGCTGTCCCAATGGTTTGGAGAGAGCCTACAAATCATATTAATGATTGTTACTTTTGCATGGTACCTTGTGTTGGACAAGCCACAGGTATGTCCAAGAAAAAAAAATCGGTTATTAACTACCCAAACATACCATCTGCGATGAGACCTGTGCCTCACAGTGACGAAAATCCTATTCCAAAACCCCCAGAATCCTACACTTGCGAATCAGAAAACAAATCAGATCATGGCGATCGAGTGATTCGTCAGGAAGAAGATATGCCATCAACGTCAAGAGATCCTGATTTTATACCGAGCACGTCATGCCACCAACCGCACAAAATAACACAGTCAGAATTAAATGATCTTGTAAGAGATTTAGAACTTCCAAAATGTAAGGCAGAGTTACTTGGATCAAGACTGCAGCAGTGGAACTTGTTAGAAGACGATGTTTCGGTATGTGTTTTTCGTAAACGCCACAAAGACCATTTTTCCATATGGAGAATAACTTGGTTTTCTGCAGTAACATTAACGGCTTACTGGCGGCTTTAAATATAAACTATAACCCAGAAGAATGGAGATTGTTTATAGACAGTTCAACATTGAGTTTAAAGGCAGTGTTATTGCATATTGGAAATATTTTACCATCTCTTCCTGTAGGGTATGCAGTTCACAGTATCTATTGACATGCATAAAATACGATGAGCACCAATGGCATATTTGTGGCGATTTGAAAGTTGTTGCACTTTTACTTGGGCTGCAGCTAGGCTACACAAAGTTTTGCTGTTTTTTGTGTGAATGGGACAGTCGGGCAAAGGTACTTCATTACACCAGACAAAACTGACCTGTTCGTCAATTCCTAGAGCCAGGTCAAAAAAATGTACAGCATATGCCATTAGTAGATTCGAAAAAAAATTTATTACCACCACTGCATATCAAGTTGGGCCTAATGAAAAACTTTGTCAAGGCATTAGATAGAGATGGGTCAGCTTTTCAATACCTGCGTCAGAAATTTCCAAGACTAAGTGAGGCAAAGGTTAAAGAAGGTATTTTTGTTGGGCCACAGATTCGAAATATTTTGAAAGATACACAGTTTGAAAACACTTTAACAGATATTGAAAAAACTGCTTGGAATGATTTCCGTCTGGTGGTCACTAATTTCTTGGGAAATAGAAAAGCTGACAACTATAAAACCCTTGTCAAAAATATGCTGTCATCGTATCAAAAGATGGGCTGTAATATGTCTCTTAAGATACATTTCCTACACTCACACCTGGACTTTTTTCCTGACAATTGCGGAGCCGTAAGTGATGAGCACGGCGAACATTTTAATCAGGATATTTCAACAATGGAAAAAAGGTACCAGGGAAAGTGGAATCCTTCCATGCTTGCAGACTACTGTTGGACTCTTGGTAGAGATGCTCCAGAAACGACCCATAAAAGAACAGCAAAAAGACAGCGCATATAGTGATTCTTATAAGTATATGAATCTTGTTACTTTTTTTAATATATCCTTAAAAATAAAAAGTTTTTTTTCTAAACCGCAACTAATTTTTTTATTTCATTGTCATTTTTGGATTCAGCGCCCCAAAATTAACAAAGAAGTGCAAACTTTTCCCACAAGATACAATTAAAAAACTAAAATTTGTTGTCCAGTGAATTATTAGACAAACTTTATTTATCTTAATTTGTTCAGATAGTAAACAAAAACACAAACATATTACTTTTTATTTCGATGAGTGTTCAAAATATTGTCCGTGATTGGCCAAACAACATAGGCGATGTTCAAATATCTGACGGACATTTTCAAAAACATGTGGGATATAATGGCAGCTTACGATTATGCGTTGACGAAGGTTTCAGGTTGGGGAGTACTTTTTTCATATTTTTTAACAAGGAATCATCCTCTCCTATATTTTTCTAATACCCTGTATATGCTGCTATGTGATACGACAAGGAGAGCACGTCTTCACGATTCAGGTACATTACAGTAATTTTAGCTCCTATATATAGCGATTTGTAGCATTTTATTGAAAAAGTGGCAGGCTTAGGAGTCCAGGGAGGGAGGAGGGGCGTTTCCCTCTAAATTCGTCATTGAATAGATCAATAAATAAACTTAAACTAAACACAAACCAAACAAATAGGAAAATCTTTAGATCAAAATACAATAAATCTACAACTAATCACGAAAAAATTATGTCAATCGAATCAATCAATGACCTACTCGAATACCTCGCCGTCCAGATCGACTTCCTGAACATCAATCACCCCGCTTCAGAGGTAGTTCTTCTCGGTGATTTCAATGCCCATAATGAGCTTTGGTTGGGCTCAAATAGGACCGATGCAGCAGGTCGTGCAGTCGAAGCGTTCGCTCTTACTCAAGGGCTGACCCAGTTGGTGACGAGCCCTACTTTTTTCCCCCGCGTCTCGTCACACGCCAGTAGCCTGCTGGATCTCTTTCTGACCACGCGTCCTGCCCCTTACAGCACTGCTGTCCTGTCCCCCCTGGGTAACTCAGATCACGGTGTTGTGGAGGTTAGGTTTCGGTCAGAAGCCGCTGTGGCAGCAGAAACTCGCACAGGCCGCAAAACTTGGCATTACAGACATGCCGACTGGGAGGGGCTCAGAGACTTCTTCTCTAGCTTTCCTTGGAGAGATGTCTGTTTCACTGACGCGGATGCGTCGACTGTCTGTTCTTCAATAACCGAAATTATCCACGTCGGAATGGAGGAATACATCCCTCACACAGTGAAAGTTCCTAAACCAGGGTCCAACGGCTGGTTCAACAAATCGTGTGACACTGCTCGCCAGCAGAAGATCAAGGCCCACAGAATCTACTTACAAAATCCCACTGTAGAGAACAGACAAGCCGACGTCGAGTCCAGAAACAAATATAACGAAGCGGTTCGCAATGTCAAAAACCAGCATGATATAAAAGTTAGGCACAGGGTAATCTCGCAGCGCAATGGCAGTCGGTCTTTCTGGACGCTGGCCAAGCAGATTGCAAAGAACTTCTCACACAGTAGCCTTCCACCACTTACGTGTCAGGATGGAACTATTGTATTCGACTCAAAGGCCAAGGCGGAAGTACTAGCCAAGATCTTTGCTGCCAGCTCCACCATGGACGTCCCCACCAACGCCCAAGTACCGTCAATTCAAAGGGTTCCCCACACTATGCGGGAGGTAACATTCAGGCATAAGACCGTAAGACGAGTGCTCTTGTCGCTCGACATCAACAAAGCTTCTGGTCCGGACTTGATTCCTGCCATTGTACTGAAGAGATGTGCAGCGGAGTTTGCTCCAGTTCTTTCGCGTCTCTTCCAGATATCTTATGAATCCGGCACTTTCCCAGAAAACTGGAAATTTGCTCATGTACAGCCCATCCCAAAAAAAGGATCTAAGACCGACCCTTACAACTACAGGCCTATAGCTCTGCTTTCTGTTATAAGTAAAGTGATGGAGAGGTGCATAAATCGCGAGCTTCTGGACTACCTCGAACGTCACAGCTTCATTAGCGACAGGCAGTACGGTTTCCGGCACCAACGTCACGTAACTGTGGAGTAAACTCATCCAGTCTCATGGTGAGGCTCATGTCGTTGCTCTTGACATCACGAAAGCGTTCGATCAGCTGTGGCACGCTGCCCTCTTAAGCAAACTTCCATCCTACGGCCTCCCAGAAAAGCTTTGCAGATGGGTGGCTGACTTTATCTCTGGCCGCAAGATATCCGTCGTAATTGACGGATTCTCCTCTTCATCCCACAACGTCAACGCGGGTGTTCCCCAGGGATCGGTCTTGGCTCCAACACTGTTTCTCTTACATATCAACGACCTCCTTTCCTGCACGATCAACCCAATCCACAGCTTCGCTGATGACAGCACTCTACATGCAGGAATTCAGAGTGACAAGCCGATCTCTGCCGCTGAGCTGGAAAAAAGAAGACTAGCGACGACTTCTTCTCTGACAAGAGACCTGGAGGCTATCACTGCTTGGGGACGCAACAATCTTGTTCAGTTCAATGCTTCCAAAACACAGTACTGTACTTTGACGAACAAAAAGCGTCCTAGCGCTCATACAGTTTCGATGGACGGTCGAGTTCTACCAAAGAGCCATTCATTTCGGCTGGTCGGAGTCCAGATCACCGAGGACCTGATCTGGCACGAACACATCTCTTCAATAGCTGCAGCTGCTGGGAAAAAGCTAGGCTATTTGTTTAGGGCTAAGAAGTATTTTTCTCCGCATGACCTTCTCACTCTATACAAGGCCCAGATAAGGCCTAGCCTTGAGTATTGCTATCACATTTGGGGTGCTGCCGCCCCGACTACATTGTCCATGCTCGATGCTGTCCAGAGGAGGGCGGTCCGACTGATCGATGACTCTTCTCTAACAGACAGTCTCGGGACTCTTTCGCACCGGCGGGTCGTCGGCGATCTAGCTCTTTTCTAT